GTGGCGGCGGCCATCTTGGACCGATTTTCATCGAACATAGCTAAAAACACTCCCGACTAATACACCTTTCAAAAAAAAAACAAAATCAAACTCGGTTCAGCCGTTCGGTAGTTACGATGCTACAGGCACACACACACACAGACACGTCAAACTTATAACACCCCGTCGTTTTTGCGTCGTTTTTGCCATATTATTTGCTGTTTAGGCAAGTTTAACTCATTGTTTCATTAATTTTTCGTTGACTGACATGACCGCTATCAGCGCATCCAGGTTAATCTCATAATAGCATTAAGCGACAGTTTTACGGGCCGAGCTGTTTGAAAACATTAAGTTCGTTAGTTCAGCGGAACGTGAGGCGCTGACGTGGATAAGGCGGTTTATATAGCAATGGTTTATGACAGATGAGAAATATTGTAGTTCAGAAATATGTTTGTATTACTCGTAATTTTGTCAACTGTTTACTGTCGATATCATCATTCTCTCATTGCTCTTAGAGTTGCCAGGTCCCACTACAGAGCTGCTGTGGAAAAATCCAAGGGAAACTTAATTCAGAAACTTGTTAATAAACTCGATAGAGAGGGCCCGTGGTCACCTTTGTATCACGAATTTAAGGCAAATAGATCAATCGACCACGCATACATACAGAACATCAAAATTAATAACAGATATACCACAGGAGTAGAACAAACAGCAGAATATCTTTTAGACTCACTCGTACCTGACGATCGACCGGAAAACGACACTGATCATCACCGACAGATCAGGCAGTGGGCCATCGAACCACCACTGTCTCCAATGTCTGATTTACCATCTTCAGACGAATTTCTCGGTATCATTAGATCCTTGCCGCTAAACAAGGCTTCGGGTGATGATAAAATATCTAACAAAATGATAAAAGAAGCTTGTAAACTTTCGGGTGACACGATTTTCACTGTCTTTAAACGTTGCATTGCTGAAGGAATATTTCCTCGTATATGGCGGTGCGGTAATATTCGTATAATACCAAAAAGTGGCGACAAGCCACCGGATGATCCTAAATCCTACCGACCAATCACATTGTTACCATCGTTAGGAAAGCTTTTAGAACGTCTTGTAGTGCCCCGGCTTCTGCCAGGTGGAGTCAAATTTCATGATAGACAATTTGAATTTACGTTGGGTAAATCGACAACTGACGCTGTTATATCGGTTAGAAAGTTTGTCACAGAGTCAAAATTTCAATACGTGCTGGCTATTTTCTTAGATATATCTGGCGCCTTCGACAACGCATGGTGGCCCATGCTGTTGCTGAAATTAAAATCACGGGGGTGTTTTAAAAATATTTATTCCCTTATCTCTTCGTACTTTTCACAAGGTACAACTAAACTAAGACTTGGTCATCATTCTGTGTCGAAGGCGCTTACAATGGGATGTCCTCAGGGATCGGTGCTAGGTCCATACTTGTGGAATATAGGCTTCGACGATTTTCTTACGATACCAATACCATCCGGATGTACTCTGAACGCGTATGCTGATGACGGCTTTTTGCTGGTGGAATCTGATACTAGGGCGGGGCTTGAGAGATTAGCCAATAGATGTTTGAACTTGATATCTCAATGGGGTGAACGTAATCGCTTAACTTTTGCACCCAACAAAACCTTCCAGTTACTTTTAAAAGGTAACCTCAAATCACCGCCGAGCATTAGATTTGACAATGTTACTGTAAAAAATAAAACCACAGTGTGTTATCTAGGATTAGTTTTAGAAAGAAACTTTTCATTTATCGAACATATTAAAATAGTTAATGAAAAGTCTAAAAAGAGTTTCTGTGCATTGACAAGGATATCAACTGCGACATGGGGTCTATCATTTAATACATTAAAGATCATATACGGAGCTACTTATTTAGGTTCTATGTGCTATGGTGCACCTGTATGGGCCGATAGGGCGACCGTAGGCGCTGTCCGTCGCAAACTGCTACAAGGCCAACGACTTGCACTGATATTTTTGTGCAAGGCATATAGGACGGTTAGCACTGAGGCTTTGCCGGTGTTGGCAGGTGTCCTTCCGGTCGATCTCGAGGTGCAGAGACGTGCAGCCATGTACTATTCAAGACAAAACATGGAATGCGATTTCTTGGGCGCGCGGGATCGCGGTAAAATTACAAGATTGCTTCAACAGCAGTCCGATGTCTATAATGACCTCATAGACGAATGGCAGCAACGCTGGGACGAATCATCCAAGGGGCGCCATCTTTACCAATTTTTTCCATCTGTTCGCGAACGGTTGTCGAGGACATGGCTTGAGGTGGATCACTGTGTCGCTCAATTTCTTACGGGTCATGGTAACTTTAAGAGCAGGTTGTATTCATTTAAATTAGTCGAGTCACCATTGTGTCAATGCTCAACACCTAACTCTCATTATGAACAGTCTGCTCATCATATCCTCTGGGAATGTAGTCTTTGGTATAATGAACGTAATATAATGCTGAATAGCTTGCAGGTGACATCTGGGGCGGTATACTATGGGAATCTTGTGTCAACTAGGGTGAATTTCCGTGCGTTTAGGCGATTCTGCCATACATATTATAGAAATCAAATATAGCTCATGTAGGACCCGTAATATTTTGTGGCCGTGGTGCTTCCTTGTTTAAAAGGGTGTATGCCTATTTTACTTCATTTTGTCTCCCGCTTTGCTAAGGAGGGAAGTGGATTTACTGTATTTCCAACTCCTCCAATTTTCTTCTGATTAATTTCGTTGCGGGTTCCAAGACAGTTTAATTTCTTCCTGGCACTTCCCGAGTGTCATAACTCGGTGTGTTCGTGGGTCACTGCTGTGGATCCTGGTGTACAGGAGTTACAGTGGTGGGCGTGTGGGTGGGATTAGTCCCAATTGTCGATATCATCCACCACAAACTCATGCATCTTTAATGGTGGATGGTGGTTTGAGTTTTAATTTATTTAGTTAGTTATTATTTGTTGGGTTTTCAGGAATTTAAATACTTTTTTCGTCTGCACGTCTGCCCCCTCTATCATAAAAAAAAGCTTTGTGGTGTCGTGGGACACCCCAAATTCTCCCTCGCCCCTTTTCCCTAGAGAGGTACTGGAAGAGTTGCAAACCGTCTATTTGCTGTGCTATAAAAAGAACCTATTAAATCTGTGGAACAAATTGTCGCCTCCCGACCCTTTCAAACCTTCAAGAAAAAACCGTATTCTTACCTCAAATTTAGGCAAGGCCAAGGCGATTGTAACTCCCGGGTTGCAGGCGTTCATGGGCAACGCTGGTCACTTACCGTCTGCTCGTTTACCACCTGTATCATTAAAAAAATCTATTCACTCACTGGAATAGGGTAGAGGACTGTCAAATCAAATCAGTTTCTTTTTTAAACGTCAAACCGCTAGACGCTTTACATTTTGTACGAAATACCATTTTGTGACGTCATACCTAGTTATTGTCAAATCGTTTATATTTAATGTTGATATCAAGATATCAAACCGATAAAAAGATGAAATTGATAATGGAGGACAACTCAGGATCTACTGTATTATGAGATGTGACCAGGGAACAAGAAAGGCGTAAAATCATACACAGCACAATGTATTCAGAAAGTATAATTAACATTTATCTTATTATTAAAAACAATTTATCACTTCACTGACCTTAGTTTCTAAGAATATCAACTGCTCCTCGCCCGATCTCAGGGACACATTTATTTTCCGCCGCACTTTGACATTTTGACCTTTAATGTTGCAGGCAATTTTAAACATAGGAATCAACCCTACCTGCCTACAACCTGTTTTGATGTTTGGGATATATGTGTACTCCGTAGAATTGGGATAAATACGAGTAATAGTTAATAAATTATTTGATATTACTCTCTTCGCCACATTTTTCTCATCCCTCCGCATGACATGTCCATACCAAGATAACCTATTACCTTTCATATAACCTTCATCCATTCATTCTTAACCTTTCATCCAGTGGCGCTACTTTCAGACTTCCTCGTATATACTCATTCCTAACCCTGTCTATCCGAGTCACACCACACATCCATCTCAGCATTCGCATTTCGGCTACGTTCAGGCGTCTCTCATCAATTCTCTTAATGGGCCAACTTTCAAAACCATACAGGATGGCAGGTCTGAAAATACTTTTATAACATTATCCCTTCAGTGTTAAGGGAAAACTGTGGTCACAAATTGTTCCCGTTACCTGCGGCCACTTCACCCATCCCGTATTGATTCGATGCTGTACAATTGGATCAATCTTTTCTCGAGTTATTAAATAAAAATGCGCAATGCAAGTAGACGGATTACTTTCGCTCTACACTCACACTCAACATATGCTTTTTCTCGTGAAAGCCCTCTCGCTGCATCGTCCCATAGGGAACTTTGAGGCTCGAAGTTTCTTTTTTTTTATTATTTAATATTACAACGTTATTTCCTTGCCTGATACGACTCTGTCTAATATTAATTGTCTCAATAAGGTATCTTCTAGTAAGGCTTGTCGCTTGGGATGCTATTTCGTTTAGTTTCGGCTGTACTGATGTATTAATTTACTTCTTTTACTTATTTAGTGTATACTAATATAAAGTTTCTAATAACTTACTAATCAAATATTGCATTATGTATTGAGTAAAGCCTCTTATTCATTGTTTATTATTTGTTTATTCCTATAAACAAAATAAATTCGAGCTGTATAACATACTAATAGACGTTTTTAATATTTAAGCCTACATACCTAGATTCATCTCTTTTTGTTTATAGTTTTCAACATGAAACCATAAATTCAATTGTAAAGTAGTTTCTTATAAACGCTCTAATATCATTTATTTCTTCCTTTTAGTAGATATTTAAACAAAAAGTTCAATTGATTTACAGAAGTGTTAAGCGTAATTCATTGTTATCTCTTATTGTGATTTCATTGTCGATTGTAACTTAAAACAAAAGGAATAAAGTAGACGATTTATGTGTTGATCTTTTATTTATGTCTTTGTATTTGATATTAAATTGTTTTTGTTGCAGAAATATGTCGTCAGTACAGATCGGAGTGGAGATATTCATGTACATGTCCAAGTAAGTTATTGTACATTATAATTGTTTTAATTACTGTGTTATTAATACCTAGAAAAATAATTAGAATTTACTGAAGTAATTATATTCTTAATGTGACATGGTTATTAAGACAGCACGGATGCAGTGGTTTAAGCGATGAATGTTGTGGGTTCGATCCCCAGATGGGACAACACTTTGTGTGATCCCCAAATTATTGTTCTGAGTCTGGGTGTTATTTGCATCCGTTTCATGCATGTGGGTTAAGTCCCTCGCGACACAGGATATATTCTTAGTGTGGGATATGTATTAAAGACAGACTTAAAAAATAAACAAAAATAAAATGCAAGAGAACCATGCCTCGGTTTTGGTACAAATGGACTGGCTATACCCGAGTCTCAGAAAACCGGTGTTAACCAATGCTGTCGTTACCTTTGACTGGATGAGTGTGATTACCGGAGAAACCCTCCATTCTCTGGACCACACTTACGACTATTGAGTTGCAGATGTCCATAGGACTTGAACCGCGGTTGTCAGCCCCTATAACCTAAAAAAACAAGTAAATAACAAACAGTCTGCTGATTACTCTTTTGTTATTTGATATTTGACTGGCAAATTGTAGGTTCATCTTCAAAGGAGAAATCACAACGTTTGACATTTGAAATTTCGGCGGGAAAAGCCATGTCGTCATCATGCGCCACAGATAATATCGTAACAAATTATAGGCCGCCCGTAGATGGAAGGGTCGGCATCATAAAAATATTACCATAAAAGAGGAAAATATCTTAGTATAGGAATAGTTCTTTTTAGAACTTTCTATGTCCGTCTATGTTTATATCTATAGATATTTATGTTACTTTTACTACCTTCTAACAGATTTTTTTTTTGACTTTTGAACAATAAATTTACACTTTTTTATTTGTTATTTTTTGTTAAAAAAGACAACTCCCGCACTAGGAATAAATCCTGTGTCGCGGGGGACTTTACAAACATACATGAAACGAACACAAAGTACACCCAGACTCAGAACAACAATTTGTGGATCACACAAAGTGTTATCCCATGTGGGGTTTGAACCCACAACACTCGGCGCAATAGAAAGCGGCGTGGCGACCGCTTAAACCACTACGCCATCCGTGCAGTCTGGCGCCTTTGTAAGGCGAAGTCGAGTCGAGTTTGTTGTTTGTTATTGAAAGAGTTAGTATGTGTTAGAAATGTGTACCAAATACGTCAGCTAAAGGTTTATAACCCTATTAAGTTCGTTAGACGTGATATGCAAATATTAATTCGAAAGCCATAAATCTCCATTGAATAAGAGTTTTCATCCAGCACAATTCGATATTTTCTACAAAAAGTAATTGTTCTGTTGATAATCAATGAATAGTCATAAAATGCATAAACATTATCCGATCCTAATGTAAATGGGACGGGTAACTGGAATGTATTCTTTAATGGATAATGTTTTAAAATTTCCAAAAAATACATATACATGAAAGATTTATTTACCTTATGTTCTAGTTGGGAGTAAATTGCTATGAATAATAATCATCATTATGATCATGATGATCAGCCTATCGCAGTCCACTGCTGGACATAGGCCTCTCCCATTGCACGCCAGTTAAATCGATTCTGGGCTTTTCTTAATTTATCTTCTTCTTTTAATAATATTTATTTAGATAAAGAGTACAATAATTTATAATAAATGGTTCTCTAATTTATAAATAAAATACAGTTTTTGTTTGTTTACCCGAAATTAATAGAACCTGTGTCTAGGGCGAAGAAGTGCTTACAAACTATTTTATCAATATAAATCTACATAACTACAATATAATTATAACATTCTAATAGCCTTCATAAGCAACTAGCAACATCAGTGATAAGTGGGTCAAAAATAATGCACTAAGACCGTTCAGAAAATTTTCATTTACATATTTCGAGTAACTGCTCAGTTTGCTAATACGACAAAATTTGTAAATAATTATGTAATGTGTTTTTACAGCTGATATAATTTAATTATAAATACTTAGCTCTCTATTTAATCTATTTTATAGAAATTTACTTAGAAAAGAAAATAATATATTTGAATAAATGAACTTTGAGCCTAATTGTGAGGTACAGACGATATCTTTTCGTCTTTTGTTAGAAATAATTATTAGAATTAATAGGTATGCGTTTTCATTGTAAGTTAATTATACTTATAGAATTTATTTGTTTTACTGCAAAACAGGGGATTGTACCACAACATAATCGGGTAAGTGTATGTTAAAAGAGTGTGTTTTGTTTTACAATTGTGATCGTATTTTTTTTCCTTGATTATCTGTTTAGCTTAAGTATCTACAGCATTATTTCTGTATTGACTTTTTGAGTAGTACCTAAATGGGTATATTGACTCTCTAAATGCACCTTTTGTAGGAAGTTAGTTATTTGGATTTTTTTGTTTTATTATGCGTTTTAGTTTGTATACTTTTTACATTTAAGCATAACCCCATTATCTTGAAACATTATCACAAGCTGCAACAGTAAAAGCGTATCTTATTCTTTTTTCCCTTGAAAAAAATGCAATCTATACATCTTGCTGGCTTTTTTTTAATTATGAAAAGTTTAGATAATTTTGAAGGTATCGAACTTAATTGTATTTTCAACAAAGAATACTGAAATTTAATAAATATGTACAATATAATATTCAAGGTAATATAGAAATGTTTTTTTATACATTTGAGCATTTTACACACTCACTGATAAACAATTTAATTATCATGGGAATAATGGCGTATTGCGTTTTTATAAAACTTAAACATTACATAGAGCTACTAATACGAGTAATTTGAATTTGTGCACATCACCGGTTTATGATTAAAAAAATATTAATGGTTTTGTTATTAATATTTTAATTTCTCTGGATTGCTAACAGTTTGAGTACGTAAGTACTTCCAGACGACAAAATCATCTGACAGAATTAATGAATTTTCTAGAGAGTCTTATTATTTGATAGTAAATGCACTAAGGTTGAGTATTCTCTTACTTTTGCTATAATTTTATCAAGGTAATCCAGCAATCAAATACAAACAATGAATTTTAAAATATTTTGTTCCGATTCAAAATGGCAAAGCATTACAAACACCCAGAAATTCGGTTATTTTTGCCAATTCAACGAGCGTAGTCACCAGACTGGAACGGCGTTAGTTTGCTCTGAATTGCTGACCTTATAAAACTGCAGGTCCATATTTTCGAGGTACAAAAAACATGTTTTTCCCTAGTATTTAATTTGTTTCAAATGATACGTTTTTGTAATCTCAGAGCTAAGCTAAATGCTTGTGTTAGATTTAAATTCAGTGTAATAAACAAGCTAAGCGAAATATTTGTTTAAAATGGGGTTTAAATTTGAAACATTGTATTTGATGAAATTTTAATTTTTGCATTTGTATTTTTTTTTGTGAATATCATTCAACCCCATAAACAAAATGCATGTATCATTATGCTGTCTATCATGGCTATCTCTTATGTACCAAGATAGCATGAAGTGTGATAATCGCAAGCACTATCTACACCATGGACAATTTTTAAAGTAAATTTGTATTATATTATTGTGGAACATAAAATAGAACCATTTCATTTTCAGGGTGACTTGAGTCAGCAGGACAAGCGGTGTGTCTTCTTAACCGTTCACGACCTAGGGACCAATCGTGAGTATTGTGTTCTGGTTATTTTACCATCGCAGATTAAAAGCGTATATCGTCACTACTCGGCTTTTAAAGATTCTAGCGTGAAGTTAAATACCTTCGTGAGGAATGGGCAACTAATAAAAAAAATCGACTTCTAGTTTCAGGGTCGATCTAATACATAGTTAATGAATTAAAAAATAACCCCTTCCAAATTACAGTAGTTTAAAGAGACGTGTAAGCTGAACGGCTTTGAAGATTCACAACGACAGGACTTGACAAGGCTGGTAGGCAGGGAATTCTAGTTCAGTTCAGTTCTGGGAATTCTATTTGCCTCTCTTTTTAAGGGTCCGTGATTGTTGTCAGTGTTCAGGGTTAAAAACCAAATACTTTTAGTTTGCATTCTTCCCTTATTTACTTGAAAGATAGCATCACGACTGTAGATTTGATTAAAACTGTCTTCTAATGGTTGGAGATCATTTCTTATCATTAATTAATTAGTTTTACTCTTTTACAGATTCATCTATGGTAGACTTTGCAAACAGCCCAGCGATGAGTGAAATCAAAGAGCGTTCATGTTTTATTCACATCGACGTACCAGGTCACGAAGAAGGTTCCCCTGATCTTCCTGATTCGTAAGCCTGATAATTAACGACTTCTGCATTGTATTTAATTCTTTATCTCTTTTACGTTATACTCTAATTTAATTTTACAGCTACCAGTTTCCCTCACTCCAGACACTAGGAGAAGATCTCATAACAGTTTTAGACTTTCTCCACGTTCGTTACGCAGTCGGCTTAGGGGAAGGCGCAGGCGCAAACATCCTAGCGAGATGTGGGCTGGCCCATCCACGACGTCTTCTTGGCCTTATCCTGGTTAACTGCACAGCATCAACTTCCTCAGTCGCTGATGCGTTCAGAAGCCGGTTCTCAAGATGGAGGGGTACGGATATCACCCGGTCGGAGGAAGTGTTTCTAATTTATCATAAGTTCGGCCATGTGAGTTTAGAACAAGACGAAATAGGTTTTAGCTATCAGGTATTCTTCCTTCTGTTTTTGTTACTAATAAACTAACTGCCCGCAATGAGATTTCTAGAGGTAAGGATGTGGGACCAGCTTCAGAATGTCATTACTAACTTTTTCTTTTTAATTTTCTTTATGGTTGTAAAAACTTTTTAGTGCTTTTATGTTTTAAATTTTGTATTACCCATGGCGTTCATCTTCTTTGTTTTTCAAATAGTAGATATTCTATTCTTCTGTTTAAAAATATACAAGAAAAGCTTTGTACTTATATAATTATATATTCAGTAGTATAGTCGTATCCTAGTACTGCTTTTTACATACCAGTTTCCATTACTTCAATTACTCTTAGAAATTCTCATAACAGTTTTAATCTATCTCCACCTTTGTTACAATTTTCCACAGTTGTCTTACATATTCTCCATTGCCGTATCAAATTTACCAGCTCATCATGTTTTTAAGATCAACAGATTTTCCAAGTTTAACTCTTTTGTGGATTTAATACATTTGATTGGGTCTATACAGTCCAATCCAGGTTTATACTGTTTTTTTCAAAAAAGTTTTGCATCAAAAACTATTACATATTTCTGAAATATTATATCAGTACTTAAAAATAAGTTCATACGACTGTAATATTACGTTGTAACTTCACGTATTATAGAGTAAAAAAGTACACATTTAGTTTGTTACACGTTGAATTAAAAAAATTGGCTTTACAGATTTGCACGCGAATGGTTTCGTACCGTCGTATAAGGTAAAACATAAATCATGTAAGTATCATACTTATCACGGTACTTGAGATCTTACATCGATAATGACGGCCGAGCGGACAGACAATGGAGATTTAATAATAATCCATTTGCGTTCGTTGGGTACTAAACCCTATTAAACTGCTTGTTAGCTACATTTAAACATTGTTGCAGATATTCAACTACTACTGTCTCTCTGCAACTTTTGATCCATCCTAAGGTTGCCTGGAAGAAATTGCATTTAGCAACAAGGCCGCCCTTTGTACACTCGATATTTGATCGCTGTGTTCCTTTCTTGTAACTCTGTAATTTAGTGTGCAAATAAAGAGTTATCTATCTATCTATCTATTGTTAACCTTTTTGGGCAGACATAATTCATGTTCAGCTTATTTTGTGACTTTTCTTATTTCTAGCTATTATCGAGAATAAAGCAAAATCTTTAAGTTGACCGCATACTATTACATGTTTCAAACGCTCAGCTAGCGCCATAATTACTACATTTCATCTACGACCGGATGGTGTAGTGGTTTGTGTAACGGACTGCTATTTCAAAGGTCGCGGGTTCGAATCCCGCTCAAGTCAAATATTTGTGTGCATGAATTTTTAATGTTTGATTTGGTCTGGGTGTTTCTATGTATAACATATATGTATTTACAAGAAAAAAGTATATTTGTATTTATATCAGTTGTCTAGTACTCATAGTACAAGCTCTGCTTAGTTTGAGACTAGATGGCGTTGTGTGACTGTGGTAGAATATATTTTTTATTTCAACCGCTCATTTCGCATTCTCGCCCCTTCTGCTGTCTTCTTTTTTACGTGTGGAAACCCCCTCGGGCTGTCACCCCACCGGGGTTTGCGGCGGGGTGGTGCGTCGTAATCGGACCGACTAAAAACATATGGTGTGCCACTCTTCGCCTGTAATAGGAGGGCTCCGGGAACTGCTGTTATTAAGACATCCGGACCCTTCTAGCGCCTGCCCGCAACGGCGTGGGCACCCTCTTCGGGTACATTCTCTTTTTAAGCGACGTCCGGCACACGCGGACGTCGCGTCCTCGCGGCTGGCCATTATGGCTGGTGGAGGGGAAAACCCGTCCCGTCCACCCGCGGCCACACACAGGGCGGCATGAGGCGCTGGTAAGCGCGCCTCGGCGTCGAGTTGGGTCGATTCAACCTTTAGCTTACGTTGTTGCATGTCTCGGTATTAAATCTAATGTTGGCTGACAATTTCAAGATATCATCTTCAATACTAATTGCACCGGCATTATAACTACCATACGTAATCAGTTTAGACACCTGTATTATAGTAGTACATGCAGCGGACGATTGTTATGAAGTTTGATCTTTCGGCCTTTGTGTGTAATTAGCATACATTGTAGTGAATATGTGTGGCAACTGAGTTCCGAAGGTGGTTGCACATCAGAAGTATACGTTGAAGTTATTATAGAACATCTATATATTTTAGACATATTCTTGTAACCCTAAAGCCCTTCCATCATTTTACTCAGTATCGTCATATTTTCGGCAAATTAGTCCATAAAAATTTAGGTCAGCAATCTATACAAATACGTAAAATTGAAGTGTCTGTTTGTAACGTCAAAATAATACGTTTTTTTCATGCTCACAAGGTTTTTTAGGCATTGTAAGAAGGAGAATGCCCGTGCCACCACCATGCGGGTGCCAGGTCCTCTCTCTGGAAGCTCTTGGCAATCCAAGGTCTTTAAAGAGGTTATAGAGGGATTAAGCTGGTACACCTTGTTGGCTGGTTGTATGCCGTGGAAGTGCATACAACGCAACGAAATAACCGTTAACCGTTTTTAGTTATTTTGTGGGTTAAGTCGAAGTTTTTGTTTCTTTTTAGAGATGTTCGTATCCCTCGGCACCGTGAGGTCTACTAGTACTACAAGCTTAATTGACATTGCAAAAAGAAATATGTCTGGTCTGAACCCCGAGGCACAGATATCCTCCGATCACATCACATCACACATCAACAGCCTATACTAGTCCACTGCTGGACATAGGCCTCTCCTTAGAAAGGAGGTTTTTGGCCTACTATCCTCCGATATTCTGTAATAATTTTCATTCGTGTCCACTAATAATGTCCAGTCACTGGCGGTATTTATAATTGAGTACAGCTTTTGTGAAGTCTTTTTGAAGTGATAACTTAATATGGGAGGGTAAACCGCTCCGTTACGTAACGCGTTACCGCGCCAGTCTCTCTGGCGTCCCTTTCTCTCACGCACACTTAGCGGTAGGAAGGCTCCTCCTCTCTCACTCTAACCACAGCGCTAGCCGTATTTCGGAATAATTTCAATATTAAATAGTTCAACTCAGATTAGTTTAAGATATTACTTCTATCTGGCTTCTCGAGAGGCACACGTTTTTTTTTTGTTGAGCCTTCGTATTTGAGGTATTTCGTGACTGTAGTCGTGGTTTACTTAGTGTATGCTTACTTCAGTGTTAGTTTTGCCTTAACGTAAACATGGACTTTCTGTCAAAAATATGATGCCAAAAACATTAAAAAAAAACTTCAACGTTAGTGTCGCAATATTTACTCGTTGTTCGCAATATCGCACTTCTGTCACAATATGTGAATAAATTATACTTATATTAATACTTTAAAAATAAGCAAAATCAGAAGTCAATATCAACAATTTTATTTAAAATTGTTTGAGCTAACGCTTTATTTATTGAGCTTATTAACACCACCACCACATACACCTTCAAATAAGACTACACATTCTTGTAATACTAAACACTAATCTATTCGGTTATATTCCTTTCGTCAAAACACGCTTGGAATGCTTTAAGGTTTTCGACTATATTTGTGTACTAATTCTATTACTTTGCCACTATTTTTTATTAAGTATTCTCTATATGTTACTTTTTTAATTTTTGCTAGAATAACTTCACTAATTATTTCGTGTAGTCACTTTAAACATTTAATTTTTACTGTAATTTTGTTTGAAAAATCCCTCTGTTAGTGATTACTTATAAGAACCACGGTCTTCGGTCATGTCATCAGACCTATTTCATTAATTTCGATCGAAAGTTTCGATTGCATAATAATGAATGTTTTGATCGTAAATTTAATATGATACTGACGATATGATGATGATAAATTAATGATAATGATGATGAACAGTAAAGAAAAGCTTCAGAAGAAAAAAAAATAAAAGTATTAAGCTTGTCAATATACACTAATGAAAAAATAAAGAAAATTAATTTATAAACAATCGCGTAAAATTCCTGAACAATTGTCTTTTTATATAATGATTTATATGTTTTTTGTATTTATATATATATATTTTTTATATTTATATTTATATATATATATATGAATAAGTATGGTTTAGGTGCCTATGCCGGTGTGCCAGCTAGTCTATAATTTTAGCAGTCGGATACAAAATATATACTTACCTCATATGCAGAATTGTAAATATTGTAGTAGCAAAATTCATACCTATCTGCGATATAGACAGAGCATAATGTAATGCCGTAATGTTAATACACTCGAGCGCAATTGGCTTGTACCTAAATAATGTGATAGGCACTTAAACCGTAGTTTGCGATAATAGCATTTTGCAATATTATGCGTGACTGGAAATGAGTAATGGGCTAATAAACACATACCCTACTATTTTTAATTGTTAGGTCCGTAAGAATACGAAGTGTCTCCTTCCCTATTCATGCCGTGGATGTCGTAAGAGTCGATTAAGTGAGCAAAACAACGCAGGACAACAGCACTGCAAAGAGAAGGAAAACTTGACACTAACCCTATACCAATACGTCTGGTATGGTATAGTAGGTCAAAACCTCCTTTCTATAGAGGCTGTTAATGAAAGTATTATTGGCCTTACAGCTCTTCTAATTAATCTTCATAAATAAGACAACTTTATGAATGTCTGAACATAATAGGGTCATCGTTTAATTACCTTTGAATAACTAGATTTATTATTAGTTCTCAACATAGATATTCAATCAATTTACATTAAAAGTACATATTTTATGATATCACATTATGATGTCAAAACTTGCTATCATATATAATTATTATGTCAATATTTAACATATGTTATAATAGGTATGTCGAAATAGATAAACAACAAAAAAATTAATTTCGTCATTCTCATCACAGAATTTGGCTAAGGATTACACCGAATTTTATTTATACGACGCTTAAATAATGTATTATGAAGATTAAATAACAAACGTAAAATACAAATATTTTACACGAATCTTCTTAATTAATAATGTAATTATCATTACAGCAAATGTCATCTGATTCCGCTGACGTTAGTGAACGGGACCGCATGCTGGCGGAATACCGGTCACGGCTCCGCGGGAACCTGAACACACATAACATCAAGCAATACGTCAGGGCTTTCATCAAGTGAGTTTCTACCAAGCTTAAGACTGTTCCACGTACGTCCCTTAATTAAACATTAAAGATTCTACATTAAGTAGCCAAAATTTTAACAATAAGTGAAAAATTGTTGTTATTTTTTTAAGGTATCCGGGGGCAGACGAGCATACAGGTCATCTGTATCTCAGACTGATAAGTTGTGTTGTCGCCCTTTGAGTTCCACCCCATAGAATTAGATCAGGTGAGGAGGGTTGGCCACCGGTAACTTCACTCACTCGATGAAAAGCACTGCTTAACACCGGTTTTCTGTGACTCCGGTCGAGGCAGTCTATTTGTACCGAATACATAAATATCTCATCTCCCACGGATACATAATTACAAAATAAAACTTAACTGAAATTTATTGTTCTATCTTTTAGGTTAATTAAGAATAGTGAGAGTCCAGATGTTGGGCCCACACCTTTACAAGCTCACTTTAGTTGATTTAGGGTTTGATGCAGAATAAAGGAAGGTCCTTTTGAGTACCTACGTCTATCTTTCTTATAAATTTATGTATAAATATATATATATATATATATATATTATAAACTACACCCAGACACACAGACTTGTTTTCGTCGGACATCGAACTCTAGTAACGGGAATGGAATAGAAGTTTAAATTAAAAATCATTGTTGTAAATTAATTTGCAGCCGCAAGGATCTGGTCCTTCGAGGTTGCCAGCCAGATATCCTCCTCATCACGGGTATGCTCAGCCCCTACTCCACCGTCATAGAGAAGATGTACAAAGAGTTGGACAAAGAGAGGATTACCATACTGAAGGTGGAAAAAGCAGGAGATGTTCTGGCTGAAGTTGTAAGTATATCTAAATACTATCCGATTGCCGCAGTTTCATTTACATTCATGGTCAATGCCCCCTTTTTTTAGTATCGCTCAAAGGCCAAGGCCATTTCCACAGATAACCTTTAGTAGCAAAATTATTAACTGTTTACGTCTTTAGTAGTTTTAATATCTGTCTTATTTCATTCTAAATTCAAATAAACCTTAACAAAAAGACTCCATATAAAAAAGTTTTACACTTTTGGGTACATTTTTATAACTTCCAACACAATTTTTCACCCTGTCTTGCGTAATTACATCTTTAGTGGCCGCGCTTATATACTAGTGTAACCGGTCGCAACGCAATCATATAGCCGTAGTTGCACTAAAGTTAAAATACAACCAAGCATTGACTCAACGAGACTGTTTCCGACAACACGCCTCTAGCGACCGCAAGCGTGTTACGACACATTTGCTGTATAAACATCGTAGTTTAGAACACACTTTTTTTCTTTTCACATTTTTTCTTCTAATGTTGTAATAAACAACCAAGATGACAGTGCTCTTGCTCGTAATAGGATTTATCATCATCGCCGGAATGTTGGTCGGTTTGTATCAGAAGAATACTAACCAAGTTTGCAAATCAAAGAAGAGATACGACGGGAAGACAGTGCTAGTGACTGGTGGAACTACGGGTATGGGACTCGAAATCGCTGCGGACTTTGCTCACAGAGGTGCAAGGGTTATAGTGGCGTGTCCGTTTGAGGACGAAGGAACGGATGGGAAAGCACGGATAATAAGAAGTTCCGGCAATGAAAATGTGGTGTTTAAATTACTTGATCTCGCGTCTCTAGATTCCGTGCGAAGATTTAGTGCTGATATTCTTGCGACAGAAGACAGACTGGATATATTAATAAATAACGCTGGTGTCGGCATTCCAGCGGATTTTTTAACAGCTGACGGGATCAACTTCATAATGCAAGTCAATTATTTCGGTCCATTTTTATTGACACTATTACTCCTACCGCTTCTGAGAAAATCGGGAACGGCAACTGAACCGAGTAGGATAGTGAACACTTCATCTATTTTGCACAGACTTGGCAAAATCGACTTTGATAATTGGAATAGGACAAGATACTATTTTAAAGTTCGGATTTATGGAAACAGCAAATTGTGTTTGACGCTATTCACCCATGAATTGTCAAAAAGAATTAAAAATACAAATGTAATAGTGAATAGTGTGGATCCGGGAGCTGTTGGAACGAAAATATTTAAGGGGGTTACGTGTGGTAGCTTTGTGTCTATCATTTTCAGCATTTTGTTCAAGCATCCATGGGAAGGTGCTCAGACAGCTTTGTATGCAGCAACAAGTTTAAGAGCGGGCAAGCACAGCGGTGCATTCTTTAAAAATTGTGCTTTATCGCGAGCTGTTGAATTAACTTATGATGACAAATTGGGAGCCAGAGTGTGGGAGGAAACATTAAGACTTGTAAGAATGACTGAGGATGAATATGACCAGTGTTTTAGGCATTAGTTTCAAAGTGACATCGAAAGAGAGCATTGTAATCGACGTCTCCAGTAAAGGTACTTTCTGGTTTATTTATTCAACGTATGTTGCTTTGATATATGTTAATTTTGGTATTCGTAGCAAGTTAATTTATCGGAATACTTTATAATTTAAAACCAATTTAAAACAAACGTCTTAGAGATAGCTTATTACAGAAATTCTAATATGAAAAGTAGTAATGTATCCATTTAATTATATTATTAGTAAGCGTTACATATACGAGTATTATAAGTATATGTGAAGTCGTGCTAATTATGAACGTTTGTGATAAAATTGATAAACTAGTACAATTTTTAACTAGTTAATTTTATTTATCTTTGTTTCAAATTGTGTCAGTTTTAGATATACTTGTTATTATCTTTAAATAATAAAATGAACATGATAACTAGATGAAACTAAGTTTTATCTTAGCAAACTATTGCTAATGGTCTGTTAAAAAAAAGGACCACAATGAATGGGCTAAATAATATTAAAAAGAATCATTTCGCATTATAGATAAACACTAAAAGAGAATGTTTAGAAATAAGCTTCAGAAAAGTTGGAAAATTTTCATACAGCCGGTTCATACAACACTCGAATTACGTATGTAATTCAAGCTTTGTTAAAGACAGCAATTTTATTTTTTGTAAGTGTACTTTAACACATTTTTTTCAAATTAACGGATTCCTTTAAAGAGCTTTGTAGTTACTTAGAAAAATAACCGCAAATGTTTTGTAGATCAACAAATCCATCATACATACACTTATATCACACTTATATTACATTTTACCAATTATTATTATAGTCCCACTTATGGATCCGTGTGGTGACGAATTAAGAATACTAGTGACACTACCCCAACTATCCCGTGGATGTCGTAAGAGCCGACTAAGGGAAAAAACTAACTATGCAGGACAAGAGCGCTGCAAAGAGAAGGAAAACTTGACACAAACCCTATACTAACCCGTCTGGCCAGCGTGGTATAGTAGGCCAAAACCTCCTTTCTAAGGAGAGGCTTATGTCCAGCAGTGGACTATTAAAGGCTGATGATGATGATGATTATGTATTTACTTTTTGGATCAATAGACAAATAATTGGCAGTAGGTAAACCAAAGGGGAAATTTATTAAGAAGAGAAGAAATGGTAGGAAATTGATATTGCTAACAGGGATAGATTAATCGCCTCGCCTACATGTAATACGAATCGGTTATTGCAGGCAAGACAAACTACTCGGAGACTTCTAACGATAAAAAGATTCATAGTCTTTCGGTTAGTAGCCTTTTTTTTTCTTTTTTCCGTGCGGAAATCCCCTCGGATACCACCCACCGGTGATTATGTCGGACTCGAACCGACAGAAAATTGCACGCCGTCTCGGGTACTAATAGCCGGGGAACCAGTCTCGGGTACTATACCCTAGAAAGGAAGTCCCTGGTGCTCGGTTAGTAGCCTAGGACTTAAAAGCCAATATGCGACCCTGACCTGTTTGAGCTATCCTTTTATTTATAAAGTCAACTGCCGCATTCGGAATATATCCTGGGTCGCGGGGGACTTTACAAATATACATGAAACAGATACAAACACCCAGGTTTAGAATAACAATTTGTGGATTACACAAAGTGTCGCCCCATGTGGGGATCGAACCCACAGCACTTAGCGTAGTTGGAAGCGACGTGGCGACCGTTAAACTACTACGCCATACATACAGTCATAGCTTATATTGCCTACTCTATCAGTAATAATAATAATAACTTCTTAACATCTCACACACGGCCGTCTGATTCAAAACTAGACAAAGCCTGTACTATGGTAACCAGATTGCTGATAAACATACTTATGTATTTCTAAATACACACATATTATAGATAAATTGCATCCAGACACAGAACAAATCATCGTCCTCTTGAGACGATTATTTGTCCTGGCTGGGAATCGAACTCACGAACTCCGGCTTAGTAGTCAGAGTAATCAATATAAGCAATATCTCCACCATTGCCTTCTCTGTCTTATCTACCTTTCCTTATAATAAACTCTTAAATATGTGGCTATCTAATCCACAAAGTGCCAGATTGACAGCAGTAGGCTTGGCTCCTTTCACGTCAGTGAAACTTCATAATGGCAAAATCATCAAATTCCACTTCTGGACATAGGCCTCCCCTTAGAAAGTAGGTTTTGACCTACGGGGTTGTATAGTGTTTCAAGTTTTCCTTCTCATTGCAGTGCTGTTATCCTGCGTGGTTTGCTCCCTAAATTGGCTCTTACGACAGTCACGGGATAATTAGAGGTGGTGACACTTCGTATTCTTAATCCGTCACCACACGGATAGATGGCAAAATGTACCCATCTAATACCCCTCTGTTTACCTCCTTTGAGATACAAAAAGCAATCAATTTAAAAAAAAACAAGTAAAAAAAATAGAACAATAAAGAGATTGCTAAGAGTTTCCAGCGATACTTAAATTTGCTAAAAGCTGTTTACGAGTTGTTGAATATCTCAATAAACTCTTTTGACTTTATCTTTGATCACTTTACAAAGCCTACCATTGCACATTCGCACATAAATGTGACGACATGACCATAAAGTTATTCTAGGTAACTAGGTAGGTAAGTTCAATGATTAAATTTTGCAATACTAAAACTTTATTTTCTTTTATGCCTATTGTTTGTCCTTGTTTTTTTATTATTATTATACTCGTAATATTGTAACAGGTTGTGGTGTATGCATGCTGTTGGTATACCAAATAAATAAATACTATTCGCTTTAACGAGAATGTACCTTCTTTTGTGTAATAAAAGCTGTTTTCAAAGTACGTTATTTTAAAGAGCGATTGCTTGTAAGAAGTATTGGCACCAACGGTAGCACCTATTTAAAGTTAGATACTTGCTTAAAAACCGGGCACTAAATAGGACCGTCTTATTTTGTCCTCTCGAAGGTTTGTCCTAACGCTGAAGTCGCGTGGCCTTGGAATTGACTGGGTTAACTGGTGGACGGTGAAAGGCCGCGTGGTCAACGACTATTAAAAAGCAAAGCGAACTGGCAACTAAGAACTGGTAAATTTACATAATTACCTGGCGACACAGGAATCAAATACTTGTGTCTGAGAAAATTCATTGTAAATATTAACTGAAAAGCATTGCAAGCGATTGAGATACTATCGAGAAGATTTTCGCTTTTGGCGTTGATCGATTTACAGCGCAAGCTCAGGACGCACAGTTATAATAATAATAATAATAAAAGTTTATTTCAGACTTATGGTCCATATTTATGTTAGTATTTTAGTGTTAGTAACAATAGTGCTTAAGTTGATAGGTTAGTATTATTAGTAATTACATTTTTACTTAAATTAACTATTTGTATAGACACATGACTGTCCCCGCCTATTGTTTCTGGAATGGGCAGTCCGGTCTGGCAGCGATCATTTTCTTTATTTATGTCATACGAAAGTTTATGAAACATATTTTGTATTCTAAAAACGTCTTTACTAGTTTTCTCATAGAGCAATAAACTTTGATCATTAATATGCAGCTATTTTTGTTAGCCTCGGTCTTGTTCACGAATACTCGTTCGAATACACGAGGGGCTTCGGTAAATCGGAATTTCCAGGCCGATACGACCTTCAATCTTCAAAAAATTGAGCGTATTCCCACTTCCACTTTAGTCACTTTTAAGATGATGATGATGTGTTCGTTTGTTACAGCCCGCTAAAGTTGCGCAGTCACTTCTGCTGTTCTGCCAAGGTCAAGGGCTATTGACCTCCTTACCTCCACCTGGTGTCGAGCGCCGCATGTCTCGGGCCATGTCGATGGAGGAGTACGACAAGCCAAACATCAGGCGCCTGTCGCTCACACCGAGCGTGTCCGAGTCGCCGCCGCATAGGAAGTTGTAGCTAGTGCGGGATGACTCCTTGTTGGAGGTGTCGGTGTGAGTAGAGGACAGTTCTTAGTCGGTGGGTGTTTAGAAGATGGTAGACGAAATACTTTTAAAGATAATAGTTAAACCCACTTATTTATTGATAGATATTTCTTTGTATAAATGATTGCACCTATCTACATTAAATATATATTCATAGGGTTAAAAAAAAACTACACTACCTATCAACACTATGAGTGCTATCCTCCCTTCAATCACGAAGTTAAATAATTTATGTTCTTTTATTAATCCTGTCTCAGTTTATGACAATAACTTTGCTTTTTGAATTTTTATCTTCAGCAGATTAATGGTGGGGTAAATAAAAAAAAACCTTTTGTAGTTTCTTTCCCTGCCGAGGATCGTAACCTCTACAAATCCCAACGTATGGGTTTGCAAATCCCTTTACCATCGGTCCAGTTCATCAGGTCTATCCAGAGGATATGTATCCTTCGTCTTCCCCTGCACTTCTGCTGTTGCCAGGAGCTTTACGAGCTTGCCCGTTTTCACCTCATTCTTGTAGAATCGAATTATTTTTGCGGTGAGCTACACAAGGCACACAGCATTCTCCTCCAGCAGTACAATATTATTTAAAAAGTAAACAAAGTACATACGATATTATTTCGTGCGCCGTATATGTTTAGAACGGGGTACGAACAAACTTATTATTATTTAGATACTGTTATTCCATTAATTATTCATGTCACTAGATGGAACAAAAACATACCATATATAAGGCCCGTATGCCTAACTTACAGTGCAATAGTTCTTACAAATAGTAGATGAATTATATATATATATATGCCCTTGGAGTCCCTCCCGCTCGAGTCAGCGGATTTGGGCTCCGGTAACCTCACTCCCTCAGTGAAAGGCAACGAAAGAATTGCTTAATACCGGTTTTCTGTGAGGCCGTGGTCGACCCGGCCCATTCGTGCCGAAGCATGGCTCTCCCACGGTGTAAAAAAAAAAGATTAGTTAAAGATTGGTGTCAAATACATTTCAATTTTTAGGTCGAAATTGTCTTAAAAGTAGGGAGTATCTTTTTAGCTGTAGTATTTCTATTTAGTCTATACATCAAAGATCCGTTTAAAGTGTACTACAATCTAACTTATTAAACATGCTTTGAAATAGTTATTAGTTGTAGAGAGTGAGAATATCTAGGTATGTTTAGTATATTTGAGCTTAAACTTTACACTCATGGTAGTTCGATTGGGGTACCCAAACAATGTAGGCGGAAAAGAAATGTTTGATATGGTAGCTAACGGGCTTTAGAGAAATGAGACGGGCAATATGGCGGATCGACATTCTTAGATGTCCAATGATTATTTAGTAACGTATGATTGTGAAAACAAATTGAAAAACTCAAATGACCATCATAAATCTTTCATTTTCTGTAGAGGGCTTACAAATTGTTATTAATGTACGTTTTAACAAGTTCATGTTGATATTATGAAAATTATGTTATGAAGGGATATACTGAAGCATGGCTTTTGTCAATATTTTCAAGTATTTATCAATGTTATTCTTAAAAACTGCTGCAAAAATTATATGTTCTTAATCGCAAAATTATATTAAATGACAGAGGTTGTAATTCTCTTTTGGGAACTTTTATGTCTGATGATTCTACGTATGATGGCAAATCCTTTCGGATCTCCGGGTTCTCGGGGACATAAGAGCCAGGAGTATGTGGTGTTACCACTAAAAACCACCCCAACAGCCGGTCTCAGGCGCCCTGCTCTGTGGAGGACTCGGAATATGTTATTTCAGATCCCGCCCCCCGCATCGACGCTGCGCCTAGCCAGGCCCCGGGGTATATGATTGTGGCCTAGTCTATTTTATTTCACAAAGCAGTAGGTGTTCATTATGTATGGCAATCTTTTGTGACACGCTCAAACGTCACCTGACTGGCGGAGTGTCAGCTTTCTCGCTAATGCGGAGCTCACGTTGAAAATTTTAACTTTTGTAGGAAAAATAGGATATCAGTTGAAATCCTACACTATAACGGTGTAGTTGGATTTACTAATAGTGGGAAGCGAATTAGAAAAAGAGGAAGCATCTTAAAGCTCGGATTTGCTGAAGTTTCGTTGTTAACGAGTTTCTTGGTTCTTCTCTCAATTGCTAATTTTAGAGAAATCTTACGTTTGATGGTTGCTAGGAGCTGGATGCGAGAAGCTGAAACTCGATCGAAGTAACGTGCAATAGGCCTATGTCCAGCAGTGGACTGCGATAGGCTGATGATGATGACAGTTTGCAAATAGAAGAAGTTAATATTCATTATGTTATTCTTTTAAAAAATTGGCCATGTTGGAATTGATATTAATTTGGCCTGTTAGCTACAAATACGATAGAGATGTTGATCTTCTTAGTAGTTCTTAAAGATTTTGTAGCGGTTTTGTAAATTATGTAAATGTTATACTGTTATTTGGAGAATTTAATGTATTTTGGTTCAATGTAGTGTAACTATTGTATGAGATAGAGGCATACATTGTACATATGTACGAAAAGGTAAATAAATATTTATGTGTAGATATCTTGGCTTTCATTCTTTCCGTGTTTATACTCTCTAAAATATGAAATTGGCGATTTGTACTAAAAATTGACTGCTTTTTTCTAAGATGTAAAATTTATTTTAATCAAAATATTTACCTCACTATTTAAACAAGATAGCAAATCTTAACGGAAATTCATTTATGCCTTTACGATAGAACTCTGGGGATCTAGATTCGACAAACTGTATGAAGGCATTTTGTCCTGCCTTCTGGGAAGATTTTTTTTATCACGTAGGAAATTTTCCAAATTATTAAAAAAATGGTAGTGGTGGTTTCGTAAGGTCTGACGAGTACGGCGGATGACGTATGGTTTCTAACTGCATCTCCTGTAGAGTACGGTTTCTCGTGCAGTGTGAGGTCAGCGTTATCATGGAGCAATAATGGTTAAGATCGATTCACGAGTCAGGGCTGTTTAAATAGCCAAAATAATAATGTTTTTTGTACTATATGTTCGTAACTTGTGTGTTTTCAATCACTTGGTAATTTATGGCATTTATTTCTTTTTTCATGGCTATTTATAGTATAAATTTCACATTTGTAACTTAAGCATTTTATTCGAAAAATAAGCTGGAACGTAAGATTACAGAATCTTTAAAGGCGATTTCCCAAAAAACTACTTTTTTGTATTATACCTTGTAATAGGGTGCGACAAGTTTCGATTAACTGGTCACAAACGGTACGAGCAGTGATTCAACTGTTCTGTTAAACTAATTAGACTACTCTTCACTAGGTCTTTACTAGGGGTCGTGGTCTAACTGTTTCAGAAGTTGGATTAGGAGTCCGTCTCGTTATCCAATTTTTCAAAGCCCTCAGTTGCAGACTTCATAACTTACGACTTGGTAACAGATCTAGTACCTAACCAGTGGAGATATCTGTAGGGATATATGGAATAGGGAATAACTACCCTCGTTTTGCAGTTAAATATTAGGTCTTTACCTAGGAAATTGCCGTTTTGTATGCCTCCCGTCCAGCTGATTTTTACAAGGGCATCAAACTGCTAATGCGTTGGCAAAGATGCGTCGATTGCATGGGTGAATACTTAGAATAACAGAAATAAAAAAGTTTGAAAAAATAAGTACTTTCACTTATTGCATATAAAACGGCAATTTCATAGGTAAAGACCTATTATTAATATGATTACATATTTAAGTACACGTTTGCGAAAACTATGATAAAATAAAACTAAAGTGTGAAATATAAACCGGACATTTTAATGGGACAAGAACAGACGGGTACACTGTAAAACTTTTTCAAAACCTTTTAACACAGACAGACGTACACAATATTACACTTAACTTTTACACTAGCGGCGCATACACACCGCGCTAACGCGACCTGTCACAACGCCTCCATATATTTGTAAAAGATAAAACTTCTCCGTCCAACATTTGCTCTAAAATTTAGCAAAAACAAAAATAAAAAAACACGTCGCAAGACTGTTCGACGAAGAAACTGGCGAGGGAGCACAACTCTGCAACGCCACAACGGGTATGTTCGGTGGCAACTCGAGCATCATCCGACCTCAGCGGACATTTTCAAACCTTTAACCTTTTCCTAGTTCTGCTATATTTAATAGAAATAAACATGCGGCCGCGTTTTAGGGCGTCCGCTTCGGCGGTGACGCGCAGCCGCCATGCTTACATGTGTACAAGCTTAGTACTGAAGCTCTAAATACTGTTCAGATCGAATTGGATGTCCATGGAACATGTATTTTAAGGGTACACAGCTACGTGCAGCTGCACTGCCGAAGGTGGTGGAGGAATGAGAGGGGTGCGGGTGCGCGGGGCGCGTGCCGTGTGACGCTTAACTATCTAGTCGTCATAGTTCGTCTTCACAGCCAGGCTGCATGTCTGAAGTTTCAACAGCTACTTCATCATAATCCCTTTCTAGAGCTGCGAGATCTTCCCGTGCTTCTGAAAATTCACCTTCTTCCATACCTTCTCCCACGTACCTATAACACAAACTACTCGTGAAAACTGAAGCTCTACATCACCTCACTATATTGTCAAAGGGACCGAATGTACGTTCAATCATTTTTAGGACCATAATTGGCTTTATAATTAGAAAATGCTCCGAAATAGGTAAACCATTTCTGAATATTATTTTTTACTAGTTTGCATGCAATGTGCAAAATAGTGGGTTAAACTTGATCACTTTTTTTTTTTTATATAAAGACAACTCCCGCATTAGGAAAATATCCTGTGTCGCGGGGGACTTTACAAACATACATGAAACGGACACAAATAACACCCAGACTTGGAACAACAATTTGTGGATCACACAAAGTGTCGTCCCATGTGGGGTTTGAACCCACAACACTCTGCGTAGTAGGAAGCGGCGTGGCGACCGCTTAAACCACTACGCCATCCGTGTAGTCACAATTTTGACACTCACAGCTTCGATAGTTATCTATACATTCCAAAGATCTAAGTGTAGTACTTTACTATTTCGAACAGATGTAACGTTCTGGCTAGGGACAAGTATATTTTATCCTGGGGATAAGTGAATACCAGGGATTTCCTTTCTAGGGTACCCCTGGTTCCCCGGCTACTGGTACCCGAGACGGCGTGCGGTTTTTAGTCGGTTCGAGTCTGACATAGCCACCGGTAGGTGGTATCCGACGGGATTTCCGCACAGGAAAAAAAGTGGGGTAAGTGAAATGCTCACCAGTGCACAAACGCTCTCTTGGAATACATGAGGTCGAACTTGTGGTCGAGCTTGCCCCACGCCTCTGCGATGGCGGTGGTGTTGCTGAGCATGGACGCAGCACGTTTCACTTGCGCGAGGTCTCCTCCGACTACTACTGATGGAGGCTGATAGTTTATGCCAACCTGACAAATTGCGTTATGCTTTTATTAGTTTCAATAATAGTTCGACATTGGATAATTCATGTTTCAGTAGTTCTGCTTGGGATTCCATTGATCAAATATCATCTGTTAAAGACACTGGTCAGTCAAAGGCTATAAAAATTAATTGTCGGGTATGTATGCGTATACAGCAATCTATAATAATAATAACCTCGCACATCTCACACACGGCTGTCTGATCCCAAACTAGGCAGAGCCTGTACTATGATAACCAGACTGCTGATAAACATACTTATGTACATATTTTTGAATGCATACATATTATAGATAAATTACAATTGACCGTGCTCATCACACAATATTTGTCCTGGGTGGGAATCGAACCCACGACCTCCCGGCTAAGCAGTCAGGGGCACTAACCACTAGACCAACAGGCCCGTCAGATCTATTACATTTTATACTTTAACGCGATACTAAAGATCAGATCATTTGAATGTACATAGATATTTTTGAATAATTCTTTGATGTTTAGACCGGCTGGTAGTAACTGCAATCGAGACGATGTTTTTACCTTAGTTTGGAAAATGCATTCCGAAAAAAGCTCATTATCCATTTGTAAGTTTTTCATCCATACGTGTTAGATAAGATAAAACCCAAAATCCACGATTACTCACTTTGAATCCTGTAGGACACCAATCCACGAACCGAATGCCTGCCCTCCCCTTCATCGAGGCAATGGCCGCGTTAACATCCTTAGGCACCACGTCGCCACGGTAAAGCAGGCAGCACGCCATGTACTTGCCCTCGCGAGGGTCACACTTCACCATCTGGTTTTGTGGCTCGAACAGTTCCGCCGTGATCTCTGACACTGACATACCTTCATGGTATGCCTGCAATACAATACGATTCATGTGATTTTTAAGGTATAAGGTGGCAAACGAGAAGACGGGTCAACGGATGGTAAGTGACTACCGCCGCCCATGAATACCTGCAACTCTTCTGTCCACCCTCCGAAACAGGGGGAGGGGGGGTTTGGGCTCCGCTAACCTCACTCGATGAAAAGCAACTGAAGTATTTCAATCTATATTTTTATAAGCATTCCGATTAAATGGTTGGTACACAAACATTATTACGATAAATATTACAATACAATTACAATATATATTAATACGTGTACAAACAATACACGTATTAATATAATTGTCGTAGAGAGAACTCTATAGACGTAGTATTGTAAACGACACCACTGGACACTGGTTACAACAAAAAACAATTCGTTAAATTTATAAAACTTTTACTGTATCTGTTTCACTTCATCTTGTATCTTTTTTTAAAAAACTTTGTAATTTTTGTGTTAGAACTTAATTACGGTGGGGTCGTACAAAAAATTCTGTTATTATTTGTATCGAATCTAACTAAATGAGTGTTCGACCATTAGCCAATCGAATTATTAATAAGCCTATTGTTAAAATTCAATCCTGGACCAAGTATTAACTATTTTGGTAGCTAAGCCCCTTAACTCAAGCTTAGTACTCGCAGTTTACTATATCCATTATTAATTTTATATTTAACTAAACTCATGGTCTAGTTCAATCTTATATTTAAAGAATAAACTCCATTTCAAGGACCTTAAAATGTAAGCTATACTAAATTTAGGAAGATAACGTATTGTATATAGAGGTCGATGCGACTCACCTTATCGGCGGAGACTACAGGCGCATACGCAGCCAGCGGGAAGTGGATGCGTGGGTAGGGAACCAAATTCGTCTGGAACTCTGTCAGGTCCACGTTCAGTGCACCGTCGAACCGCAGCGACGCCGTTATCGACGATACAACCTACACAACGTGTTAAACTTAACTGTTGGACTCTTAAGACCATTTTTTTTCTTTTTTTATGTTAGAAGGGGCAGACGAGCAGGGGGCAGACGAGCAGACGGGCAGACGGGCAGACGGGTCACCTGATGGAAAGTGACCATCGCCACCGATGAACGTCTGCAACTCAGGAGTCACAACCGCGTTGCCGGCCCTTTAGGAAGGAGTAGGCTCTTTTCTTGAAGGTTTGACGGTCGTATCGGTCCGGAAATACCGCAGATGATAACCCGTTCCACAGATTGGTTGTGCGGAGCAAAAATTGTCTCGAAAAGCGCACTGCAGTGGAGCGCCAACTATCTAGGTAGAGGATGAAAATTTTGCCGTGTGGAACGATGGCGGAAATTTGCGGCTGGTATTAGTCCGGAAAATTCCTCGGAGCACTCATGTTTTTTTTTTTTTTTAATATGTTTTAGGAAAACTTACAGCTAGAATTACAATTGATATAAGACTAATGGGTGAAGGCCAATTAAAAGTTTTCACTGCTAGAACAATAAAAGACAACTCTAAACATGGTAGGATGATAGGAAAGTAGACATAGGTATTATTATAAATGTAATTTGTTTGTTATGCTTGGTCGAAGAAAACGTTGCCCAGTTGTTTTTTAAATTTAGTGATACTAGAAGAAAAAATGTCGATATCAACACCCCGGCATGCTGCATTATACATGCGACTCGCTCTGATCATGTATGAGTTTTGCCTGTACTTAGAATCTACAATGGGAACATGCAACAAGTTAAATCGTCGAAGATGCGCTGTCGGATATGAGGAATATATATCGAATATATATCTCCATTATGCTCTAAGGTTGGACTAAATCATTTCAGCTATTTGAGCTCACTGTGGGATTGCGCAATTTCTTTATCATCACAAAAAGTACGTGCCATCTACATTCACGACAATTTTTATAAGGTTTGTTAATTTACTTTCTGCCAATTCTGGGAGATATTAATATTATATGTTAACGGTTACTGTATATAAGACATCTTTTAACGAAAGATGTTATTTATGTTGTTGATATTGTGGTGTGATGTGTATTAAGCATTTATAACAGCGTCATAACCAGTTTTGTAATTAAATGAAATTTAGTAGGCCTCAAAAAGCGGTAATACTGAAACGCGGACTTGTAAACCATGTCAGTACTAATAAAATCCTTGGTCATAAAACTTGATTTTGAACAAGTCAAGAACTCGAGAATTATCTATTTGTCGGTTTTAAAGAATATTTTAGTATTTGACAAGCAATTTTGAATATTTGACATCATTTAAGAAGGATGTACCAACACAAAAAAATCAAATTAGTTAACTAAATTATGTGTATTGTAAGTGCGTACTTGTGAAATCAGTCTATTAAGATTGGCGTACGACGGTCGTTCGATGGACAGTCGCCGCCTGCAGATGTCGTATATGGCCTCGTTGTCCACCATGAAAGCGCAATCGGAGTGTCCGATAGTCGCGTGTGTCGTCAGCACCGCGTTGTACGGCTCTACTACTGCCGTCGATACCTAGAAGAGAAGCGGTTCAATTTAGAAGTATTAGAATGTCTTTGTAGAAACTAGACTAGCTTGGGGTCAGCTTTGAGTCGATACTACGATACGGCTGAACTTAAGATTTTTTTAGAAAAATAACAATTAGAAACCTCGAAATATATTTGCTTAGCTCATCATAATCCTTTTACAGTCCACTGCTGGATATAGGCATCTTTTTAGAAAGGAGGTTTTGGCCTATTTTACCACGCTAGCCAGACAGTTTGGTGGTGTAGAGTTTTTCCAAGTTTTCCTCCTCTATGTAGTTGTCCTGCGTAGTTTGCTCCCTTAGTCATCTCTTGCGATACTACTCAAGTCACGACATGGACCCAGACCAGACGAGTATACAACGAGATCTCCTGGGAGTCCAATTTCTAGCGTCTGAAGGTGTTTTATTTAGACCAGAATAACTTAACTGTCATGGCACAACATTATTTTGTATCTATGTTTTAAATAGCCGTTTTTTATTTTATTAAGACTTTCATAAGGGAATTGTCTGATCAAAGATCTCGAAACTGCATGACGCTCCTGTTGGGATAGTAGACCGGTTAATAAATAAGGTGATGCATTTTGGCAACCGATCTTAAGGTCAATACTTTGCCAAACGAAACTGTAGTACGAAAAAGTAGTTCACGAACAAGGACATTCCCAAAGTAAAGCTTAACATTTGCGTAAGCACATAGGTCGACAAACGACAAGTCAATTTGCGAATGGTGAAAACTTAACGAATTAACAATACCCTGAGGTAGCCTGTGACTTCGCAATTTCTACTATATCACTAACGATCTCGACAATGTATAGTACTTACTTGTGGCGCCGGATAGATGGCAAACTCAAGCTTGCTCTTTTTGCCAAATTCTTCAGATAGCTTCTCCATTAGCAGCGAGGTGAAGCCAGAACCTGTGCCGCCACCAAACGAGTGGAACACAAAGAAACCCTGAGGACAAAAAACCGCCATTTACACGAGTTGCTTAATATCCAGCTCCTCCAGCTCGTCTTACTTAATTTCACATTTTATTGAATCTTGCATATAGGAAGAACATTCAGAAAAATCTAAATACATATAGGTATAGTCCGCCTCAAAAAGAACTAAGTGAAAAAGGTTCCGTTAAAAGTTAACATCCATTTTAACAAATTTTAATTATAGTGACAAAACAGTATTCACAGTATTTCGCCAATTCCCTGTATACATTACCAACGTTGTACACGTGTCTCTTTTTATAAGTGTAGACATGCATGTGTTGGTTACTAAGAGATGTATTTATTGTTTAATAAATGATATTTGAAATTTTAGTAACATTATTCTTATTTCGTAATACATTAAATTATTAGATTATCGGTTTTTGATGACAATTTCGCTCACGGAATAGCTATTCTTTCATCGAAGTTTTAAGTGTAATTATGAACAATATTTATCGCACTCTTTTATGACGTTATAAAACAGTAGGTAGCTGTGTACATCATTTCGAATTTTAAAATTTATACTTATTACACCAATACGTTTCCAAAGTCTTAAACCCAATGTATTGTTAGCAGGCAAATTACTGTGGATACTGTTGTTTATCTCCATAATAATTTACTGTGTACGATATTTTGGCAAAACGGATGGGCCTACACATTAAATTAGGATTTTATTCACGTATACTTCTTTTTAAGGCTGACTGTACATAATGCTTTTATTTTAAAAAATATTTTAGGGAATTTAAAAACAGTAATTCAAATACTTATGATTTCGTGACATCGTCATCTCTACTTATTACCTGCATTGGAGTGCGTCAAACAGAGGGCATAGGGCTACACTTATCTCACAATTTTTTCAAAGAGCAGACCTTTATTAGAATGGTACTGTATTTATGCTACGAACTGTTTTAGTTTTCAATGTTCGGTTTATTCATCTTTGATGTAACTGCGTTTAATTTTGTCTCAGATGAATTACAAAATGACTACTACTTGGTTGACTAAGATATGTCATAATTAATTAATTTCTTGTGAGATAGGTAATACCATACGTGGTAAGATTGCTAGAATATGGAATAAGCCAGTTGACTTTAATGTACCTACCCGACAATACTAAAACTACACCTAGCAATAATCTTCTGTAACCTTTACGAATCCTATTGGTACGTGTTATTTTGTAGATGGCGCTGTACTTAAATTGAACTGGTTAATCATGTCATGACTGGATTACATTAATTTATTGTCGTTTTAATTTAGTAAATAAATTTGAATGTAGCATTTTGGCAACAGATCTTAAGGACTCTTTTGAAGAATGAATCCTAAGTACGGAAAGAAAGTCAAGCATTTGTGTGCATGAACATTTAATGTTTGATTTGGTCTGGGTGTTTTGTATGTATAATATGTATGTATTTACAAAAAAAAAGTATATATGTATTTATATCAGCTGTCTAGTACCCATAGTACAAGCTCTGCTTAGTTTGGGACTAGATGGCGTTGTGTGAATGTGGTAGAATATTATACATTTGGTGAATAATATGTATATGAAAGTGAAAATAGAAAAAGCACTGCAAAATGTAAAAGAAAAATTTAAATTTATTAACAATTCCATCATAATCAACAGAGTAGTCCATTGCTGGATATAAGAGTCTCCTTGGAAAGGAGGAAAAAAATTTACGACGATACCCACGGAATGAATAAGGGTGGTGACACTATAGTAGTAATAGTTTCATATATTATCTTTTTGTTTTTGTCAATAGTTTTAAAATATCTATCCAACGACAACACACCACGAGAAGGGCGATAAATAACTATACGCACTAACTTACTACGCGTGGCACCTTTGACGCGCGCGCTGCGCACACTCAACCTCTTAGCTGACGCTGTGGATATATTTTGTTGTTCTTTGAGTGAATTCACAATTATAGCACTAAGTGAAATTTGTTACTTTAGTTTGTAATTTAGTTTAGCTTAAATTAAATTAATGTAACTACAATATCGCCTTGGAAAAATACTGTAAAGATATTGTAAGAAAAAACAAAAAATATTCTATCTGTGTTCATTGACCAAATACTGCACAATAACAAAAAAAAACAAAAACCATTGCTGTAGAAATCTACTAGTTATTTATAGAGACTTTTTATAAATGTTCAAATTAGCTCAAATTATAAAGTAAACTATGATCAATCAAGAATCAAATGTAGGACACAAAAAGAAAAAGCAGTAAAATAATTAATTAGAGTAAGAAGAAAAATTGTGATATTTAGTCAAAAAATCTTTACCTGTAGACCAGTGCACTGGTCGGCCAGTTTCCTCACCCTCTCCAGGACAGGCTCCAGCACCTCACGGCCCGTCGTGTAGTGTCCACGTGCATAGTTATTTGCCGCGTCTTCCTTACCAGTAATGAGTTGTTCTGGGTGGTACAGTTGCCGATATTCGCCTGAACGGACTTCATCTAAAACAAAATAAAACTAGAAAACGTGTAGACATTTTAGAATAAAAACAATCGTCAAAAATAATCTTTTAAATTTACAACTTTAGCAAGCGATCTCAATTCGAATATGGAATTCGCCACCAAGAAGCTCATGAAAGACCGCCTGAACTAGGAAAAAGGTTTACCAGGTCACTTAGTATAAAAGAAAACACAGGTTACAACTTCAGGAACGCGAGTATTAATAGTCCTAGCTAATAGCCTCATTAAACAGCAGTTGGTCAGTTATTAACCAATAATTATACTTACGGGAAATAACGCGCTCACAATATGTATTAAGTCTATACCTTTAAAATGCCTGACGTTTTTAATTATGTTTAATGGAACGCATGGTTAAGGTTAGTATTTAATATGCGGTTTCTAATCTTCAAGGGTCATCAGCCAAATACTCCTACTTACCTATTACTGTCGCTTCCAAGTCCACCATCACAACTCTCGGCACCATTTTGCCCCTATCCGCCTCAGAGAAGAACGTGTTGAAACAAGAATCCGTCACCGCGGAGTCCGTATCGCAGGCCGGCAACGTTCCATCAGGACGGATACCGTGCTCCAGGCAGTACAGCTGCCAGCACGCCACCCCCATCTGCACGCCTGCTTGGCCGACGTGCACAGAGATGCACTCCCTCTGCTCGCGTGCGAGTATAAATATTACACGTTATTTACGTGAAAGTAGATTAGTATGAGGTAAAGTGCGAAGCACAGGACCGAACGCTATGAAGGATTACTGAATGCCCTCAGTATGTCCCATCTCGGGGACATAGGAATATTACGCATGTATCAGGCAAAGGACTACAGTTTGACAATTTTCGTCGAAAGGCTAGAATGTTCTGGATTGATTAATATTCACATCACGATTAATAGACACGAAACGTACGAAATTAAAAAGAAAAATAGTAAAGATATCAAATAGCGCAGTTCCACTTAGGTTGTTTATATCATTTCCTTGAATGGAAGTACTAGGAATCCAAAAAGTAATTACCTAAAAAAGCTTAGTAGCAAACAAATTAGACTTACCATGATTGATACTTATAATTTTGACGATCCTGTTAAAAAAAAGGGATGTAAAACTGTTAAAAAATTATTTCTCTAAAAATTTAATCCGACTATAATTTTGAAAAAAAATGCGAATCAGCGCCCGTCTAATGGGCCGCTTGGATCTATTGTAAAATTTTATTCTACGTTCGAAATTACATATGGCGTGCTTGTTACATTCTTAGGTGCCAGTGTTTGAATTTTGTGAAAATAGTTTAAATGAGTTTGGATTTTAACGGACCTTTTTGTTGTTATTACCTTCAGTATAGTACAAAATAATAGCATCTATACTTTTTATTAAAGGGACTAGTGTTGTTTGAGAAAAGATTACTGTGTTCAACCTATACAAATAAATAAAATTGGAGTGTCTGTTTGTAATATTAAAAAAACCGCTTTTTACTAAATGCATATGTATGTTTACACGGTACATATGCCAAAATAACATTTTTTACAATTTTTGTCTGTCTGTTTGTTCCGGGTCATCTCTGGAACGGCTGAACCGATTTCGACGGGACTTTCACTGGCAGATAGCTGATGACATAAGGAGTAACTTTTTTTAGACTAGCTTCGCCCCGCGGCGTTGCCCGCGGTTATAACAACAAACGCGGGTAACACCGCGGGTCTCAGCTAGTACTATACTAAAAATAAAAGCAGAAGCTAATAAATATGTTACATATGTTCCATATTTATTAGCTTGAATTTTGGTATAATGTTAGCATGAATTCTGTTCAACTTTTCATATTTAGTGTGCCTAACCAAATTTTATTATGATTGTTGAAATCCATGTTTTGGCTTCAACAGCGACTCTCAAATCCAAAATATTATGATTTTCTTTCATGATATAAAGGCCAAACGAGCTGATGGTTCATATGATAAAAAGTGACAATCGTCGCCCATGAAGGCATGTACCTCAGGAGTCACCAGCGCGTTGCCGGCCTTTGAGTTAGAAATACGATCTGCCGAAAACATAAACAAAAGAGTTTTTCTTCAGAATTATTTTCTGACAGTGTAGTATGTTAAGAACTGCTTAAGGGTATAAAAACTGGAACTACAAATCTATTAGGAACTAATACAAGTATTTGAAGATATATCTGTCAGATCAAAAAACAATTTAATCAATATCTCTAAATTCCGTCTTGCAAAATACCTACATTTAAACAGAAGGGTGGCGAGTACACAAGTAGGGCACTAAGGACAGGCAAATAGGGTGGGTCTGCTATTAGGGCAACAATGAGGGTAGGGTGCGCTGGGCGGAGAGCTTGACGTTCACCCCTCTTGTGTGGACGATGTAAGTTGATTTGCATTTTTGTGCTCGTTAGTTCTAAAACTTGGGTCTTTTTATTGGTATTTTTAGCTATCGGTTATACGTATATTAGGTTATTATATGCGCTGTACGTGACATGGGTTTTCCTTATTGCCAAAATGCCTTGTGGTCGTTGAAATGAAACAAAACACGAATTTCGCTAAGTGATTTCCAAAGTCACAGAAGCAATAAGAACCCTAACTTGAAATTCGCGTCGTGGGTATTTAACAGCTGGTTTTTCGTTCAATGAGCGTTTTCTTGCGGCCCGATGTACTGATGACTTAAGGAAAATGACCTGCAGCGGATGGATGAGGGCTGACTAAAGAATGAGGACAGTCCAGTTAGCAGTGGGCGGCGATAGGCTGATGATGATGATGAGTAAATGTCGAGCGTTTTCGGTCTTTGCGTATAAATTACCTATTCATTTTATTACTATTTATTTTATTACTATTTATTGACTGCACGGATGGCGAAGTGGTTTAAGCGGTCGCCACGCCGCTTTCTACTACGCTGAGTGTTGTGGGTTCGATCCCCACATGGGACGGCACTTTGTGTGATCCACAAATTGTTGTTCTGAGTCTGGGTGTTCTTTGTGTCCGTTTCATGTATGTTTGTAAAGTCCCCCGCGGCACAGGATTTAGTATTAATGCAGAAGCTGTCTTTAAAAAAAAAAATACTAAATACATACTATACATATATAAAAAATGGTACAGTTCGCTTAAAAAATCTAGTAGGTATTTAAGAATAGATCTGGTATGTAAAACCCCAAACTGAGTTTTTTATCATAGTTTAAAAATAACACCTTTCTAAAATGTATGCTTTAATTCGAATTTATTCAAAACAGGCGTAACACCAGCCAAGTTCGCCACAAAAATTAATTATTTTAATCCGTATCCGCGATAAATCAAACCATTGTCTTTTTAACACCCGATATTGTCACTGTGGTAGAGTCCTTAATCCTTTATATTCAAATGTAAAGTTTAACTGTGACAAGTGTGGACACTTTTTATTTTGAATATATAATTGCATGATATTGTTGTAGTGTGTAAACAGTGTGAAGAGCGTGAAATCAATTGTTTGCACTAGTGAAGAGCGAGAGAGAGAGAGAGAGAGAAAGAAACAAGGTTTTGATTTTGTTATTTTTTTAATAAACTTTATTCAGTTACATTTTTTTACAATGTCTCTATTCTCCACTGTTCTAACAGTTTGTAGGCCTTTCGCTCAATTTATAATAAACTTAGTAATTAAATACTACTTTTTAAATTACTACTACAATGGTGTACTAGCAAAAAAAAACAAAATATAACCAAGTAATAAACATTACATAAATATGTGTAACCTGACTATTTCCTGAGTACCTGCTTCCCTATTTATGTACATGTTTTAATCTATTACCATATCCAAACAATTCTTTTAGTCTTAATTTTAGTTTAATAATGAGTCACAATTGAAAATGGATGTATTATTTACGATATTTAGGTATTTGTGTAAAATAAAACCGAACCGTATATATATATATTTTGTTTCTTTATTTAAACCCAATAATCTCTATAAATATATAAATGAAATATAAATACATAGAAATAGAAAATAGAAAATGAAATATATATATATTTATAGAAATGTCTGTTAGATTTTTTTTTTCATTGATTATAGGAATAATTTAATCACGGCCTCGGGGTCCTCCCCAGAGTAGGACGCCTGAGGCCGGCCTTTTTCAGGGATTTTCCACCCCGTCAACAAAAATAAAAGCTATAGTTATGTTTCTTGACGAATTTTAGAGACTATAAAACAATGCTATGACCCTTTTGAGCGGAGCAGTGACCGAATGCGATGGTTCGCCCTCGAATTTATAATAGATATAAAACCTATTTTTAACATTATAACACCTCTTTCGAAATTTAAAATACACAGACAACCTTTAAAAAGACAATACCTCAGTGAACTTGAAAAAAAAAGTATTAAATGTCAAGTAACTGTCAGTTGGTGTCACGACCCGTCTGCTGGTTTATAGTGTTTTATCTATGCCGTTAGCAACCGTACGCTCCACAAGGGTCGAGGAAGATGAAAGATAATCTTAATAATAGTGTGTAACATGATTCTTATGGCCAGATAATCACTAATATACGCAGTTATAATCATGAAGGGGAGACTAAATGGACCTTTCAGATGGATGTAGAACAGTCGACACTTTAAAACATTCAAGAAATAATGTTCTATGCTACTATTGTACCCAGAATAATGTAAGCTTAGCTGCAAAGCTATCACATGTATGAAAACTAGATAAATAGAGCTAGATTTATAAGTTGGCAGAACCAAGGATCATATTTATAAGTACTAAATACTTTTTTGTTTAATCTGTGCATACAGCTCTGTCTCTTCTAGTCTAATCTCTTTGATCGTTGCATGCTGACCTAAGGTTACGTGGCAGAAATTGCTTATAGTAATAACACCGCCATAAACATGATATCTTCGCAATAATATTATTCTGTAATAATGGTGTGCAATTAAAGAGTTATACATTTATATATAAGTATAGCCATGGTATTTTTATGATACACACAATTAGAAAAGTGTAAAATACACCATTTTTATACGGTGTATTTTACTCGCTAACACAAGACTTATTTCTTAGCATTTCATGGGGTCACTGTGCGGGTACCGGGTCCATCGCGTGACTTTGACAGTCCCGTGGAATTGCGACCCAGGAATAGGTTTAGGGAGTACTCCTTGCAACTCGTCAGCGCTCACCTCCACTGTCTGCTGTGTTACCCAATCTACCTAACTATATTTGATACGAGACTAGCAATGCCGCTTTGGATATTTGTTCAAGAAAAGAGCTTACTGAAGCTCTTGGCAATCCAAGGTCTTTAAGTAGGTTATAGAGGGATTTACAACGCAACGAAATAACCATTGTTAGTTATATCGTTGTTTAAGTCAAAGTACTTTTTTCTTTTTAAAACGTGATCTTTAGGTATGTTCGTTTCCCACGGCACCGTGATTTCTACTAGTACTACACGCTTAATTGACTTTTCATAAAGAAATATGGCTGGCGTAGACACCGAGGTACTCGGTTATGATACTTCGCCGGTATTCGGTAATGATTTCCATATGTTTCAACTAAAAATGTCCAGTCACTGGCGGTATTTATACTTAAATACGCCTTTTGTAAAGTTTATTTTTGGTGAGCCTTTCTTTACAAACTCGATGATAGTTCTTATGTCTGTTGCTATTCCCTTTTTCGCTCTCGCCAGTGATAAACTCATAGCTTCGCGTAATACCCTATCATGACGACGTAAATGAACCCGGTCTAAAAGCACCTTACAACCTGTTAGTAAGTGCCTGCCCGTACCTATTTCCGCACTGCACACAGTACAAGTACCTTTTCTGTGACTTTTCCCCACCTTACTAGGTTGCTTTGATCGGGAAGAGTTAATTAAAAGACGTTGAGGTAAAATTTTAATAGGGCAGGTGACCAATCGTATAACTTCATTCCAAAGTTATTTGAGCCTCTGTACAACGTTGATGGGTCTGCAGAAGCCATTGACTACAGAAGTCATTGACTTTACGCAGTAGTTCTTTGCACTGCTTCGGATTACGTGTGAGGATCGCAGGGTCATCAGCGAATGCTAAGATGGATTCTGTATATTTGCCATTGACCTTAAACCGGTAGCCCCACCTC